TGAGTACTAATGTTGATGTTGTTATCGTTGGTGCTGGTGCAGCTGGCATTGCTGCAGCTATTGAATTACAATCAACTAATTTAAGTTTTCTCGTACTTGAAGCTCGTAATCGTATTGGTGGTCGAGCATATACAGATCAAGAAACATTTCCATCAATACCAATCGATCTTGGTGCTAGTTGGATTCATTCTTATGGACCTGAAAATGTACTCTATGATTATCATGAATCTTTTAATGTTGATGAGAAAAAATATTCAACTGGAAAGTATGGAATTTGTTTTGATTATGATGGTCAACATTTTACAAGTGAAACAATTTTTCATGCACGAATAATATGTGAAAAAATATTTCAACATTTAGAATTATATACTTATAATAAAAAAGATTATGAAGATTTAAGTATTGAACAAGTAATTAAATCCGAATATGATCGATTAGTAACCGATGGACCAATTAAACGTTTCGTTGATCTTATGCTTTCCGGTGAAGAACAATATGAAGGATCTAATTTAACAGATCTTTCAGCTAAATCTCATGGACTTGGATCAGGTTCAGGAAATGATCAATGGGTATCATTTGGTTATGGAAATTTATTAGAACGTATTGCTAAGAAACATAATTTATCAATTCAATTAAATACTTTTGTTACACATATAAATATTACTGATAGTAATCGAATAGCTATAAAAACATCGAATGATTCATCAATAATTTATTGTCGTCGAGTTATTATTACAATACCATTAGGTTGTTTAAAACGTGAAACAATTATATTTGAACCACGATTACCTGGTTGGAAACGTAATGCAATTAATCAAATGGGTATAGGTTTAATGAATAAACTTATTGTTCAATTTCCAAATTGTTTTTGGGATTCTGATATTGGTTCTTTTTCACATGCATGTAATGAACGACGTGGTCGATTTCGTTTTACAATTTGTTTACCATCACCAGCAAATATTCTTATTCTATTTGTCACAGGTATATTTGCTAATGAATTAGAAATTTTAACAGATAATCAAATTCTTGAACAAATAATGAAATTTCTTCGACAAACATTTCCTAAAATTACAATACCTGATCCTATCAATTATAAATTTACTCGTTGGGGACAAGATCCATTAGCTTATGGTTCATATTCTAATTTTGCTGTTCATGCTAGTCCTCAAACTATTGAACAATTTGCGAAAGAAACTTCTGATGGTCGTGTACAATGGGCTGGAGAACATGCTAATATAGATGATGGTACTGAAGATTGGTTATATGCTTGTGTTCATTCTGCTTTTCAAAGTGGACAACGAGCAGCAAAAACTATTCGAAATCAATTATGTTCTTCTTAACTATGCATCTTTTTTTTTCTTTTGTTATATTTGTTTGTTATCCTATACAAATTATCGATTCTTTACAGATGCGATGAAAGTGAGAAAATAGTTTTAGAGATCATAACGATTCTTCTTCTTTGTAGCCATGCATATGATGAGAAGTATCTCAATTATATGAGCACAGGACCATGTTCGTCTCAATCATGACCTCGATAAATCTAATCTGGTATCGATTTCAGTCTAAATAAAACTATTCTAGAATTTATTCGTATTACATCTAGGCCTACAACAATTTCATATTAGTTTCGATCTTGAGAACTGTTCCAACACTTCTTTTGTAAAGAACTGATCTGTTTCAAAATGTCTTTGTAGCAGCAATTCACAAACATGGGATAGATTTGGTTTCAGACTGAATCCAACCGATTTCAGTTCGATTTGGGAACTAAAATTTGATTCCGTGCATCTCTATACATGATCGATTTTATTCGTCTTATGAGTTGTAAAAACCTAATGAGATAAAATAAAGTGTTACATACTTTCCAACTATGTTGAATAGAATTAAATACATATATTCATTTCTTACCGTTTTAAGTATTCTCAATCCTTTTTTTATTACGTATAGTTTGATTATTAATCTATAATGTATTTCATTAGCAAATGAATCAGAATTATTAATAATAATTCTATGAAATAAAAAATATATTAGCATACTCAAATTAGAAACTGTAATAAACTATCGTATGTGAAAAACGAGAATTAAAATAACAGCAAATGTAAGTGATTATTAGAAAATTTTATAAATAGAATGACAAAGCTAATTGATTATAGCATTGGTATAATCTCGATTAAAAAATAGATTTATTACATAACATCTTTATGACAGTATACTACAATTGTATTTAATATAGTCTTTAATGTTATTAATACTGTAACCTTACAATCTACGTTCCATAAATTCAATAGCAGTCATAACCTCTATATTATTATAGACATATGCAATATCAAAACATTTTATGAGATCAGTCGAATAACTATCCCAAATGTAAATGCATGAGTTTAATTTTGTAATATAAAAACAACCAATCGAATAAAGATAAGAAGAATGAGAACTACTGCATCAAAGCAAAAAAGAAGAATCATCATTTATCGAATGTAATTAATTTAAATAAAATATTGTCCATCGATATACTTTCATTTGATATAAATAGATGTGTTTTAAATATACTACTAATAATAATTATAACTATTTCGATCGTATCTACAGTCTCTACTTCGACAATTTTCCTTTATATTTGATCAAAAAATATCAATACAATTTGTTTGTTTGCTATCATACATATACCAATATCTAATAATGTCATTGACAAAATAAAATTTATACAGAATTTGTTTTTAATCAGGTGCAAAACTACGAAATAATTTTCGTTTGCATTAAGCAAACATAGCACGTACTTATTTCTTTTTTTTCAACTAAACAGAGTATTTATTTTCACTTATTCATATTGTAATATATACTTCAATAAGTTCTTTTGCATCGGTATCGAAAAATGATCTTCCAAAGTATTTTTATGAACAAATGAACCAAAATTTTAAATTATTGGAGTATTAAACTTCGAGAGAAGATAATTATTATTAGTCTATCAAAAGGAATAATACATCAACTAAAAAATCCTTCACGGTTTTTTATATTGGAACATAACATCATAATATATTTATACTTTACATATCATCTATAAACTAAGTTAAATTCGAAGAAAAAAAAACATCAATAAAAAATGTTATCCAATAAGCATAAGCTTAACATAAGATCAGTTCTTTATTCTTATTTTTTGTTAATATGCGGTCTACAAGAAATTTTAACGTATATAGAGTAGAAGTTTGCTGATATACTATTAAACACCACACATAAATAACGCCCCATTATAATATATGAACTGCATCCTTATTCTCTTTTTGGAGGATAGGGAAAAGGACGATGAAGATATGTGTCCCAAAATGGATAGAATAAAACAATCTATCTGTTATTAGTAATAGCAAGTACATCGTACTTCACATTTTTTAATCGCACAGGGGCTGTGCTTACAGGTTTTGCGATCTTTTAAAATCTATATTTAACTTTCCCTAAGATATCAATTGAACAAATAGAGTTACATGATTGATAATCTATTCTTTTTCAGAAATGAAAAAAAAATAAAAACCTTTGCATATGAATTGTCTTTTATATAAGGAAAGGTAAGAAATATGATGAATGTATACATAGATGACATTTACAAGGAAAAAAACAAAAAGATTTGTCCTATTGATAAAGACAAGTGAGATTTGTAAATTACAATTTCATTTCTAATGAATGTATTCATCGAAAAGTGGCGTTACTTTTCAGATGTATATAGTTTTTATTATAATAAATAGTATTAGTTTGATTGCCATCAAGTAAGGTAAATTCATATATAGATTCTTTTTTTTTCTTCGTTTATATTAAAGGCTTATTATCATCTGTATAAAATTTATTCTTCAAATTTTTCGTTCGATTAAATAAACTATTAAAGTATAATAGAAGAAATTATGCATTAATTTATATTCTATTGAATGTTTCGTTTTTTGTATTATAGTCGATTTTTTTCTCTTTCCTAATATAAATGCAATAAAAAAAAAAACTTCAGAAAATGGATGATGAAAAAAAAATCACAATTGAATTATGCACTTGTGTAATTTTATGTAAATGTAATCAAAGTAGGTTAGTAATGTTTTTTTCTCTTGTATTTTCTTTTTTTTTCTTATTCGAAATCAAATAATTCAAAAGCTTTTTAATCTTTACTATAATAAATAAAAATATCACATAATTTAATATAATATTTACAGTCTTGGTAAGATAAATATTGTTATTTATATGTAATGATGTCTTTCAAATTTTCAATAATGAATTCATTATAAAAGTTTTCTTCTTTTTTTTATTTTTAATATTTATTTAAAAAATAAAATAAGATATGATCGTTACAAGTATTTCGTATATGAAAAGCTATTATTGAAATCAAAGTATAATTAATCATTTATATATTTCACTATATGATGAATGAGAAATAGCAGTACTAAGTGCAATAGATGAAATAATACCAAATATTTCAATCAATAAAATACTACCTAATACACTTCCAATGATTGGAAATTGCTTCCATAACCATTGAATGACAACATTAGCACAACCTTGATCAAAAATAGATTTATCAAAATCTTGATCTTGATAACAAGCAACAGGAACTGTATAATTATGTTTATAATAATCTGTAACATTGTCAATACCACAACATTTAAATTCACGTTCTATATCTTCTATAACATATTTAAGATCTGTATGATTATTACTATAAATTTCAATAAATAATTCTCGAAAACCCGAATAATAACTATCACGAATACGAACACGATAAGTCAATGTGATAATAAATGTTGCTAATTCAGTGATAATAAGAAGACTAAGAATTGCTGCATATAAATATAAAAATACTCGATTCTTAAATACAGCACCTTAAATAAAACATAAATTATAATATGTATAAATCTATCATTATGTTACATACCCAAACAACCGAAAGCAGATAATAATATAGTAAAAACAGCAACAATAATCATAATTATACCTACCCATTTTAAAGCACTTCCTCCAATAATTTTTGTATTAATATGTTCCGATAATGCAATATCAAATTTTTTGCTTACTTGAACATAAATACCAAAACCCAATAATGTAAAACCAAAAATCAAAAATAAAATATTTAATATGAACAAGATTATACGTGTACAGCGGATACTACATGAAAGATGAACCATAGTTAACGTTTTCTTTTTTTTTTTTTAATTTAAGAAAGATATATAGAGATCCTTTTATATGAGATGCCTTTATATAGATGAAAAGATAACAAACCATGACGAATATGTTCCGAAGATAAAATGGAACAATAAATGAGTAATACTATTACTCCCTAGATAAAATTTTATCAAATGAATCAGTCAATTAGACATTTTTTTTCCTTCCTGAAAAGATACATAACGTTATCAAACATTTATGTCGATTTTCAAAATCACAATAAACATTTCAGTTTGTATTAATTTCTTGCATAAACTATGATCATAGTTTCATAGATTTTGTAACAATCAATACAATGACACTTCATATCAATTTTCTAAATACTATCAAACGCATAATATAGTATTTATTGACTATACATTTATAATTTTCAAATAAGCTTTCAACCGACAAAGGCCATTTTTGTTTTTTCTCTTTCAATTAATCATATTCTTTAACGATTAAAAATCGATATTATTGAAGTATATTATGTTATTCAACTGTCGTTTTTTGAAAGTAAAATTCACCATTAAAGGCCGTTCTCTTTCTCACCTAGAAAATGTCAAACTTGTTCTCTGGTAATCGTCGATATTTGTGTCACTCGAATAAAATGGCACTTGTTGTCATCAAAACTTTTTCTTTTTTTTTTCAAATATTGCTTCAATAAAACATATAACATTCTTCGTTTTTTTTTTTCTTCATTTTTCTATTATAAAACAAGTACAAATGTTGATTAAAATATGTAGGAATAAATAAACATTACAATTATAAAACTATACGAGGATATGTATGCCTTAGAAATATATAACTATTTGATTTTTACTATTGAATTTCGATTTCTTTCTTTCTCGCACTAGGATGTGTACAAAAAAAAAGAGAAAATGACGAAAAAAAAAAAAAAAGAAGAAAAGAAATTAATAATAACTAACACGAGATGCGATATCGTTCGTTGACATACACACACAGGTGTGTGTGCAAGTAAAAAAAAAATGAGAAACCAAATGGTGTTTATTTTGAAATACGAAAAAAAAACGAAGATGAAAAGAAAAAGAAATCGAAAATTGAATCGTGCTCTTTTACTATTCTATGCACAAAAAAAGAGAGTAATTTTATCGATTTTGTAGACGATAATCGTCTTTTTTTTCTCTCGTTTTTCGTTTTTTTATTCAAAAGCAGAATTGACATACAACATAAAAAGTATATATGTAATCTTTTGCTCTTATGTGTATAATCAATAAGAATAAGTATGGTGCCAAAATGATTTTGACCACGGCGACAATCTAATGAAAGTCAAGTGTTCTATGTAGCTGACATGATCGATATATGTATGTTGTCATTTGTTTGTCATAGTTAATGTTACTGTCACATAGGATAAAGTGAGTGTGTATACAACACTTTTCATTTTCAAGTGTTGTTGTATTTTTCTTCAAATATATGTCGTTTCTTATTGATATTCTTATAAAAAAAAAAAAAAAAAAGAAAAAAGAATCTTTTAATATTGTTCAAAACTTCAAAGTGTATCATATTCTTTTGTATGAAAAGAAAATATATAAAAGGGGCGTTGCTGTTATTTTATTACATACGTTATGAATCGATTCAGTACACACACACACACACACACACACACATATATATATATATATATATATATATAACACAGTCTATTGATCGATTGCAAACAACAAGAAACGGAAATTGAAACGTTCGTTCTATTGCTGCCGCCAGACAGTAAATGAGTCTTGTGATTATGCTTATTACTTTGAGAGATCGATTCAGTGTGTGTATATGTGTATAACGAATTGAAAACTGTTGATCGATTTAAATGAACATTCATATTTTCTTTTTTTTTTCTTAAATGAGCAGAAGTCTGAAGAATAATTTGTTCACATGCATATATATATATATATATATATACATCTGCAGTAGTATGTTTTAGATCAATTTAAAAGAAATCTACCGATGTGTAGCAGACGCGTGTCTGTTATCTCTCTCTTTTTTTTTCATTTTTTAGCTTCACAAACATCATTCATCTCATCAATATTTTTCAGAGCTTTTCTTTCTTTCCGCTATCATATTGTCCTAATCACCTCGAGCAGCAAGAGGTGAACCGTTAAAAGTCAATGGCATATCAGCAAAAAAAAATAAAGAAAGAAGAAGACGAAGAAGAAAAAGAAGAAGAATCATCGAACGTTGTCCATCATCAGCTCGCCTGACTGACTTGAATAAACATCAAGCTAGGCTTCTTCTTCTTGTTCTTCTGTCTATCTGTATGTTATGTTTTCATTTTGGAGTGCTTTTTTTCCCGTTAGGATGCTTGTTTTCTAAGATTTATTATTTGTATCATCAGATGAGACATGCTGTGGTAGTGCGTTAGTCTTATCCGTATGTATATACATATATCGAGAAAATTTTTTTCATCTGCAATGTGTATATTACTTTTTCCTTCGATCTTATTCATTGTTGCATCACACAGCATGATCCAACTCGTATGGAACGATATTTTAAGAATGAGAGAAAAAAAAAAGAAATGATATGTCAATACTTCTATGAATATAGAGAGAGAGAAAAAACTCGAGCAATAGATATTGGTTTATTGGAACATTATTTTCTCTAGAGAAAATCAAGATATTTGATCAGTCTCGTTTCTCATTTACGTTTTGTTGCTAAGAATAACAAAATGAAAAAAAACAAAAAAAAAAAAAAGAAAAATAGAGAAATTTGTTTTCATTTAAATTATCTGATTCATTACATCTGTTCAAGATAGATAAGAAATTTTATAATTACCAAATCATTTTGTTTTTATTTTTATTTTCATTTTATATTTTGTTTTTGTTATTGAATCAATACAAGCAAAAACTTTTCCTTGTTCTTATCGTCATTTTCTTCCTGTACTAGACGATTTGTTTGTTTTTTTACATTCAGTTAGAGAAAATTTTTCCTATTGGCATAAAAAGTATGGAATAACTTGTCTATCGTATATTACTAATATTATTCTTATTCTTCGGTTTTTTTTTTGCTATTTGTTATGTATGTATATATATATATATAGTATATCATACTAATTTCTTTCATTGGTTTTCTGATAAATTTGAAGAATTTGACCTTTTGATCTTTTTTTTTTGTTCTTTAGATTAATACAAAAAGAACACACCAGATGTTCTTTTCTACTAAGATATTGATCATCTTCTTCCTCATTTTTCAATTAGATCCGTGTGTCGCTTCCGTTCTCTCATTCTCAATCGGGCAAGCAAAGCCCAAACGATATACGTGCATATTCTATCTTTCTTTTCTTATATATACATCTATATATATGTGTGTACACATGTATTGAAAATATGGGCTAGTACGACGCGTGCCTGCTTGACGATAATGATGATGAGCCAACGGGGGTTGCTTGATTTTGAAAGAAAAAAAAAAAAAAAAAAAAAAAGAAGAAGATGGGCATCTCGTTTGCTTCTGCTACGTTAGTTCTTCTCATAAAGAACAAAACTAATAAATCTTCTTCTTCTTCTTTCTTTCTCTCTCTCTCTCCCTCTGTCGATTTTCTATTGTACATATATATATATATATTTTCTCTCTCTCTCTCTCTTTATTTAGATTTTCTTTTTTTTTCTCTCTGTCTTGTTTTTTCTTTTTCCTGTGTCTGATGCATCGTCTCAAATGATGATCATTCAAGACGAGCATATATTGAAAGCAGAATCAACTATGATTGGTGATAATAATTCAATCATAAAAGAAGATGAAATCAATGATTTGTCAATAACAAAAACGAATAATGAAACTATTATTAAACGTAATGATGATTTATATAAATCATCAAATAAACGTAAACAAATTAAACCAAATAGGTAAAATAATAATAATTAATTAATTAATTAATTAATTGAAATAAAATAATTTATTTTTAGACTTACTAATGATGATGAAGGAATTCCGACTGGTAAAAAACAATTTTACAAAAACAACAAAAGAATGTTTTTATTTTTATTTTTTAGATTTAACCAATGGTCAATCATCACCATCTGATGATCTTGATCAATATTCACCAACAAAACAACAAGAAGCTTATTGTAATTTATGTGAACGTTCATTTTGTAATAAATATTTTCTTAAAACACATTTTGTTAAAAAACATGGAGGACTTAATCTTATGTCTCCATTATCAATAGAATCAAATAATAATAATAATAATAATAATAATCAAATATTATCACCATCAACACCACCAAATCTATCAAATGAACAACCATTACCATTAATTGTTAATCAAAAATTAAGTGAAGATTATTGTGAAGTTTGTATAAATTTCTTTCTTTTTTTTTTTTAAAATTTAGTTTTATTTTTTGTATCTATAGATTTGTCAAAAACGTTTTTGTAATAAATATTATCTTCGTGTAAGTAATCAAAAAAGTTGAAGTTAAGTCACGTTCATTGTTTACATTGCCTGAGAAGAAGGACTTCTAGTTTAAATATTCAAAACATTGTCAAGCACGCACACTAATAGATTGCTTTACTTTCGTTCAAACTACTGTTTGTTGAGATTACTTCTTTTGTTCAAAAAGATGTGATGTTTAATTTTAGATGAATCTTTCTTTTTTTTTTCTTATTCGATGTAAATATTGAAGAGAGAGAGAGAGAGAGAGACAGCGAAAGAACATAGTGAACATCTTCAAAAGATTGTTAGAACAGAGAAAGAGAGCTTATCTGACTTTTAATAAGCTTATTTATCCACGAACGAACGAATGAATTTCGACATGCATACCAATGTTTATTGGAGAAAAGAGAAAATAAACAATTCGTTAGTTGAGATGTGTAAAAGGATTAAATTTAAGTTCTCATCTTCTTTTTTTTTAAATAGAAACACAAGGGTGAATGTCATGGTGTCTATACGGATTATATAAAATCATTACAAAAAAGTGCTAATGAAAGCCCGGTCAAAAATAATAATACTAGTCGACCTATGCAAGGTAAATATAGGACTAAA